AAAATATGTTTTTCACACACATTAACAATCAGAAAATCACATACCGCATGGAAAGCTATAAAAGGCTCCCAAATCTTTGTATCACTCCTTACCTTTATTCTAGCTGAAACGTCTTATCTGACTATTCAACTTTAGCATTAAACTAGCAGAAAAATACATCATTACTGAAAACACGCATAGAATTAAATGAACTGAAAAGATATGGATAAGAAAGGTACTGATTGGTGATATCTTTTACCAGTACTGTATATATAGTGGCATTAAAACTACATGGAAACGCTATATTAATTCCTGGTAGTGAAAAGTAAGATATGGTATGATTGCCAATGAGACAACTCTCCAAACTTCCGAACCAAATATTTGCATCTACATGTATTTACATCTTTTTTCATATATAGTTATATGTGTATTGTACAATTGTTTTGGTCATCTGCCTTCATTAAACTGTTTACATATTCTTTATTTAGTCTTTTAAGAATAGTTTTTTAAGAATAGTTGTCTTAGTGACAATCATTACCGCATTTCCTTATTTTTATATTACTTATTCATGTTGCATTTCAAACACATAAAAATCATTACCATTTACTGCACCGCTGCTTGAATCACTCTCTGGGCTCAGGGACTCGTTCCTTTTAGCTGCTCCTTTCTTAGCACTAGAGGAATCGATTGAAAATTCTGGGTTCATATCAGGGAACTTATCAAAAATGTCTTCCAACTCTTCATCTTCAGTCCCTAGAGATTCTCCAGATTTATCATTCTTTTTCTTATTTCTTTCATAATTTTCCTTGAATACTTCGATTTCTAGCCTAATTTGCTCTGCAGTAAATTTATAATTGTAAATTAGCATAAAGTCAGATAATTTTTCCGTTAATTTTTACGAGAACATTTGATTCTTCTAAATCTTTGTGTTTATTTCGAATAAATTTATCAGCTGCAGGAGTCCATTGCATACCTGAAAATATATTTGTTTAATCAATCACTAATGTATGTGTGTGCAACAGCATATTAAGAATTGTACACACAAACCTGACTGACAAATATGTTTATCATGGGTAATAAATATAAAAAATATGTGTACACAGTAATGCACGTCCCTTCCCTTTTTCACTATCACATTTCCATGTTCACTGAATCATGAAATCAGAGTCAAAACTATAATAATTGTATAATAATACGGACATTGATTCCACGGTAAAATGAAGAACAACAATAACTTGATATTTTCACCTATATTTTGACTTAATCCTTGCTCTTTCACAAATCTTAAAATATGTTTTTTTTTTTTCAAATTTACAATTTTAAAGTTTTTAAAGTTATATGACCAAAATATGTGAACATATTAAACTTATACTCAAATCATCGCTCATTGTCGCTATTGTTAGTACTGCAACCAGTGTGTTCCTAATTATTGTTATTGGTTAAAGCTTGCTAAAGTAGAGATTTGACCTCTGGATCTAAATTAACAAAAGAACACAGTTCCATTTCCAATCTGGCAAAAATTGTACACTTGAGAGCACTTGCAATGCAATTTACCACACAATCAATAATTCTGAGGAACATGACTCTTTTCAATATTGTTGATCGCACTGATTTTCGAATTTGTCCGAGATTGATTGTTGGTTGCTTAACGTCCAGTAGCAAATATACTATGCATGTTCAAGACGAAAACAAATTAACAATACATAAAGGTAGGTCCGTCCGAGAAATTTAGCCTTACAACCGTCCACCTACGGACCCCTCATAGAGTTGTTGCAAGGGATTTTAACGTACAGAGAGCGTGGCACTCTCTCTACACAAAGTATCGAATTTAACGTCCCCATTGTGACCAGACGTGGCTGTGTACTTGTTCATCCCGCACAGTCAAACGAACGCCCGACGTTGGCATGGGTTATATTGCTGGTCGGAAGAAGACCTGTAGTGACCCAGTCTCCTTTGGGGTCAAACAATGCTGATATAAGTTGTATAAAAATTTGTGATTTTTTTTAACAGAACTTACGTTTTCACCATGCATATCAATTCCACACTGCGCATAAAAAAAAACCAATTTTTGACACAGGTAAACAATTTTAATAGTTTACTGTACAGATATATATAATTGTTTTGTTGAAATCAGAGCACAAAAGTTTTTTTACAAAAAGTAAGTTTTTTTTCTATCTCACCCAATTTTGTCAATATAACGGGACTATAAACAACTGTCATACTATTGGGAGGTTAAGCTAGCTAATATCTATAAAACCAGGTTAAACCCACTATTCTCTTTAGAAAATGTCTGTACCAAGCCAGGAATAAGGCAGTTTGTTAATTAATAGCGTTTGATTTTGTCAGTTTTTATGGACTTCCCCTTTCAAATTTGCCTTGGAGAGTGTTATACTTTTTACCACATTTTAAAAGAAATGTGACACCGCAATATTGACTAATCGTACTGCATAAAAAGTGCCGACGGACAGACAGTCACTATAGGGCAACAACGACTAGTCGAAGGGATTATAATAAATACAGTTGATTTACGAGAAAGTCGAGCAATAGGGTGTCCGAAAGGTTATATATTTTAAGCAGAAAAACTTACTTCCTGAGCGATAAAAGTAGAGGGACTTGTCAAACGTTTCTGTAAATGAGAAACAAATTGACCAATATTTCCGACTATCAAAAGAAGACACAGGGATATAACTCGGCGTCTATCAACTGAACCATTCCACTCATATCAGGGAACACCTAGATAGCGATGGCTACTTTGAGGTGTTACCATGAAAAAGTAAAACATATAAGACATTCATCATCAAAATGTGACCGTGTATAGATATACAATTATGACATAGCGCCCTAAGCTGATTCTGTCAGTCCGAGATGACTACTCGTGTCGTACATATAGGAACGTGTTCTGTCAAATAATAATTATATGTATGTACTTTTTAACGAACAGACACAAACTGTTAACTTGTTTACAAAACACAAGTCTGCTTCTGATTTTCTGCTCATTGTCTAAAGTCCAAGATCTTAAACCGTGTCTTCATCATTCACTTATATTGACAGTATCAAAATAAACAATTCATTTGAAATATTAGATTTCATCTGTGACACTACCATGGTATGATTGTACAGGATGTATATTTTTAATCATTTTCATTATTTTTGTAAATAAAAAAGAGTGCTGTCCATTTTCTACGTCTATAAAAATTCAAAGCATAAAATAATTCCTGCATGCACTTGACAAAACCTACAGCAAAGCAATAGTGCTGTTATTGCTGTTCTTTGCCTAAAATTCACACCGACAGTCTTCGTGTGTAAGGTCTCCGTTTTGAATTAATGACTGTGGTCATCAAATAAAAGTGTTCAGAAATCAAATACTTGTTAACTGATAATCTTAACTGAGTTCTAAAAAATAGGACGATCTATACTTACATATTTAAAAAAAAACATATAAAATATCCTTTTTTACAAAATATTATGTTAACCAAAAGGTATACTATATTGAACCACAATATTTGCCAATTTAGTTTAAAATGTTAAGAAAACCAACAGGACGATGATGAATTAAATAATTTTTAATTGAGGGAAAATAAATTGAAAAAAAAAAATTTACATACTGAGTATACAATGATGCGTGGTCGCATCTGTCAGGTTAAAAAAAGCGATACTGGTCAGTTGTATGGAGTGTAATGTTTAAAGATATTTTTATCAGATACGACTCGAGATATTCACAAAATTTCTTTTATTCTTTCGAGTTTTGAGAACATAATTATATATAGAAGTTTAAGATTTGGGCCCAAGTTGATCTTTATTGTCCAATAATTGTTTGAACTGGTCAAATATGCCATTACCTTTGTTAATCTTTCTTGTTTATCACAAATAGTTTGGAAATTCCAATATATAGGTATTTGACCTTGAAATAAGATTGATATTGAATCATTCCCAAGGTAAGTACATGTAGGACAGCAAAGTGGAACTGTACTGCCTAGTCATAAAAATGCGGTCAATTTTCTCGATTTTCATAGATACAAAATCTTTTAGGAAAAAAAAAGAACGTAAGAGCGCATAAATATCAAATGATAAATACAACATTTTAAGATATTCGAAATCGAGGCCATGGTAACATTGTTTATATTCTTTTTATCACACGTCATTTCATACCCAACGGGGTTGACTCGGTTTAGAACTAAGGTAAATAAACTCATCATAGACACCAGGATAAAAATTTTGCACCCAGACGCGCGTTTCGTCTACAAAAGACTAATCAGTGACGCTCGAATCAAAAAAGTTAAAAAGGTCAAATAAATTACAAGTTCGAAGAGCATTGAGGATCCAAAATTCCGAAAGGTTTGCCAAATTAGACTAAGGACATCTATTCCTAGGGTAGAAACTCCTTAGTATTTCGAAAAAAATCAAAATTTTGTAAACAGTTGATTTAAATTATGAACTTGTCAATACTAATTGTAACACAGAAGTGCTTACTACTGGCATCGGCACTGAAATTGCCAAAAGTAGAGTGTCGCCCGTTTATTGTTTTTTTCACACCGATCCTAGGTATTCTATCAATATTGTCAATAACATGTCAATCCTAAATATGTAACATGTTTAAAAAGTTAAGGAGAAAAAACTTAAATTATCCAATAAAAATTACATTATACTGTTCCTTTAATATACTGTGTTATCTAAATGTTTGTATGCAAATCTTTCTATAAGCATTTTTAAAAATATACTGATGCGTGCATCCACTTGTGAATATTTTTCTCTACATTACTTCGAATTTTCCATGCTTATTTATTTTGGTCCATACATACCTTTAATATTCACTTTATGACAAAAATACATATATTAAGATAAAGACACATGTCGGTAATCTGATATATTGATGCATGCCCTTTTCAGTGTCTGATACCGTGATTATGATAAACCTTTAAATAGATCACACCTGTCTTTCAATGACAATTCAGATAGCAAGTTAGTATAAAAGTAAGCATTAACAACTGACGTGTTATATTCACTTTGACAATTTAAACAAATACTACTTTTCAGAGAAACAATGAGGGTGTTTTTGGCTGTGTTAATACTGGGTGTAGCAAGTGCTGCCCCATCACAGTTCTGTAAGGATCTAATTCCTATTTCGGGATTATCTAAGAATTTTAACGAAACCATTGCTCATGCTATTCATTCCCTGACGGTTGAAGGACTAAGGATTTTCCATCCACAGGCAACCACAGTTAACCATATTCCAACAGTTAACCACGACTTAAGACAACCAAATAAAGTTCTATCGAACGCACCGTCAAATCCAATTGGGAATGACTTTGAAACAGACTCTATGAATGTTCTCGATAACATTCTTTCGAATTTGGGATCACACAATGACGGACTTGGACCAAACTGGTCAGGGGTGGAGAGAGTTGCACATACCTTCCACATGTGGGATTTATGGATGAAGGTATTTTTTGTATAAATTCAGAATTGTACATGAAAATAACGTCGGTTAACAAAGGCTTATCGCTAGGGTATTAAAGAAAGTTCTTCCGAAATAATATTACAATAATTAACTGGTGTAAGTAATAAACCATTTTATTGTGCAACAAAAGTTCATATCAAATTTAACGTCATGATTTATTGTTGTTTGTTGAACGTCCAGTTATTTTAAATCATTATTAGTTTCTTAACTATTTGTACCAAATCACTTTATATGAGATTTTCATAAATTTCTACTTGTATGATACTGTGTTGTTTCGAGTGCTACAATTAATAGCCGTTTTGTTTTTCAACACTTTCCATGTTAAAATAAGGATATATGATATGATTGCCTGTGAGACAACTATATGTTTATTTCGAATAGTTTGTAAATTTTTTGCTTGTAAGTTTTGGAACGTTAACAAAAAATAAAATTACAACTCCCTCTGACAAATCTTACGTTTTACACGTTTTTACAACGATTTTGGCTTGACTTTTTCACACAGATTTTTACTAACCTTATCATGATGACGTCGAACATTGTAGTATACCTAAAACATCGTTATATATTTTAAGGAATAAAAAAATACCAAAACAAATCGTCATCAGGACAAGAAAATATTTTTTAACATTTTTAAAAGCGCCTGGAAGACCTTTGATTTAACCGGCTTTAATTAATAAGATTTTTATTTTACATTGAAGTAGTAAACAATATTTCATTGACTTTTAGCCATAAAATATCAGAAACAGAAGTAAACGAAATATTGTTGCCCTTTCTTTCAAAGCTTAGTATGACTCACTGTTTTACTGTATTGTTATCATACACCTTACACTATAACACTGTTGACTGTTTGCTTTTACCAACATTGTAATTTTAGACTAATGACCCTATATGTATTGAGATTGATCATTTTTTTTTCAGATTTTTAACAGCGCCTGGAAGGCCGTAAAGGCTAACCCACCTCATAAAGAGATATGCAATTGTGTCTTAGACGTTGAAAACAACGGTATCAAAACAGCTGTCGGATGGGTTGCAAACCACTACAAATCTGGAACACCAATTACTCTCCTCAACAGACCAATCCCCAAGTTGGTGGATGCCACAACATGGACTGTATGGAAAAACAGGCTCCTTCATTACTATACCGACGAAGCATTGAAAGATGCTGCAACATACTTACATTGTGCTACTCAATAAATAAATGTAACGCATATTTATGTTTTCAATGAAACATAAAGGGTAAATCTTTCAAATGAATGTAGATATAAGGCTACCTGGATTTCCACTCGGATAGCAGGACAGTATCTAACATGTTTAAGGAGAGTGTTGGTTGGTTTGTTTGAAATATAGCCCAATCGATTTTTATTCTGAACTATTATTCTTTTGGTATGCTGAACCCTCACAAGATTAAGTTGCCTACGTTCTGTTTTAAAGCATCCGCCATTTAAAATAGCAGTGATATTTGTGGTGTATCAAATAGTTTGTAAGTATTCAAAGCCATTTCATTTTACAGCCAACAAATATTTTATCTCAGTGTAAATACATTGGAGTTGCTATCTTACTGACAAACACAACATTCACTTTTCTCCACTGTTTAGGTTACCAATACGCATGCAAATTTGCAGCTTCGCGTTATTTAATTACATGGAAAAATAGTAGGAATCAATCCCAACTTCATAAGATATTTAGATAGTATAGCTGTACAAACACTGAAAGGATAGTAGAGGAAAATTAAAAAAAAAAACAAAAAACAAAAAACAAGCGGACGTTATGGTTTACCTAAACGAGACAATTCTCGCGACATATTAAAGGAAGCATGTGCATCAACCCCATGTCGTAATTTTGTTGTAACAAGTACCGCACCTGCACTTTTTAAAGAATGGTGAATCAAGCATATGTTCTATATCTCTGTCTATCCAGTACACTTTTAAGCTCGACTGTCTCGAAGAGCCAATATGAGATACACCCTCACTTGACGTACGCGTTCCCCCAAAGGGTGACTGGGTTATAGAAATATGGTCGCCATTGGTCTTCCTCCGACCGGCAGTATTACCCTCGCCAAAGTGGGGCGTCCGTTTGGCTGTGCGGGATTTACAAGTTTGCAGTCACGTCCTGTCAGAATGGGGATGTTAAATCCGATGCCTCGTGTAGAGTGTGTGCTACTCTCTTTGAACGTTGAGAACCCTTGCAACAACTCTGTGAGGGATCCGTAGGTGGCCTGTTGTGAGGTTAAATTTTTCTTTCTGTCCAATGTACCCTCATTTTCCCGTGGCAGTCCACATTAATTTCCCCGACTTTTATCCCGGACGGGCTCTGTTACAGGATCTACCTATTTTATTTGTTGTTGATTTGTTCTCGTCCTGAACATGCATGAAATATTTGCCACTGGACGATAAGCAACCAACAATCAATCATTTGCCACTGGACGATAAGCAACCAACAATCAATCATTTGCCGTAAGCCTCTGTCGTTCGGTATAAAAACGATGCAGAAAACACCCAAAAGGGACAATCAAAAGCATAAGTCGGAGAATACCGACAAGAATTTGCTAAGTTTGTCAATTAACAAGGAAAAAACGAGTGATGGATGATTGCTTACTCAACGTCAAGTGGCAAATATGTCATACATATTCAGAACGCGATCAAACTGAGAATTGATCCAATGTGTATGGCCTACGCGTAAGGTCCACCAGAAGAGAAATTCTAAAGCTCTTGAATTATCATGTTTATACAATGTATAGCACAATTAACCATTCTGGTACTTGCAAATTCAAAAATTCACTATAGCAAAATGATTTAAACACCAGAATGAGAAAAAATGTAACTAGATTACACGCTTTGCGCCAGTAGTGGCACCTGGAGACCAGCATTTCATCCCTGTCAGACTTTTCCTTAAAGACAAAACAAACTTTGACAAACCATTGATACATGTGCGATATAGAATTACTTAACAAATATGGAAATTTAAAATAAACACCTAATACCGACTTGGTTTCTTTCTTGCTCAACGTTCAGTGATAACTATTTCATGTATTTGCACACAATTTTATTTAGGGGCCAGCTGAGGACCACCTCCGGGTGCGGGATTTTCTCGCTGCATTGAAGACCCATTGGTGGCCTTCGGCTGTTGTCTGCTCTTTGGTCGGGTTGTTGTCTCTTTGACATATTCCCCATTTCCATTCTCAATTTTACCTATGAAATTAAATATAAAACAAATAAGTAGGAGGGAGGGCCAGGATAAAGGGCAGGCAATTACTGGGGAAAAGAGATGTGTTAAATATAGTACAGATTTTGCCTTGCAACAAGCCATAGCTTAGGCATCCGTTTTGACCTATCATTCAGTTTGCCTATATATACATCCAGCATAAGCTTTAAGAATGGTTTTACACCTGAATTATAGACAAATGAAGATCATTATATGACTAGACCGTAATCAGTTGGGGATGCGAGGTTTGATGACAAAGAATAGACAATATCGATACATGCAGAAAAGGATAGGTGTTAAACAAAAACAAATATATAACACTACCCCCTCCGTGTTTCTGATGTCATACAACAGTGAAATGTATTTTTTCACAAAAATGATTGTTTTTACTACAGTGATGAATCAGTTAATTTTGAGTTGATTGATACCCTTTACTTGTAAGTTTTTGTTTCTGAATTTAAATTTTAGTCTGAAATAAAAAGGGAGGTCTAAGATGAATCAACCAAAAATGACTATGATTGGTCAAATAATTTTAGATAAAAATGTTAATTAAAAAAAATTTGTCGTTTATTTTTTTTGAAAAACTAACCATTTGTAGTACTATATCAGTCTGTTATTCTCGCAAAAATTTATTACAATTTAACCGTCAGATTGTTTTCAATTCAAGGTTAAAATATACCCCCACCCTCAATAAATTAGAACAAGTTCCATTCTGATAGTACATATGGGCCATAACTTTTTTGTCTTTTGATTTAGGCCTAAGATATTTGTCATGCAGATGTATAATCATGAGGTTAAGTGTCTTTTATCATGATAACCTTCATGTGACCTTCAAATTTGACCTCAAGGTCAACTTAATGTATTTGTTTGCAAGAAACAAAACCAGGCAATAACTTCTTCCGTCTTTTGACCTATACCTTACATCTTTGGCATGTGGATGTATCATCATGAGGTGGTGTGCCCCTTACAGTTTTGGCCTTCATGTGACCTTGATCTTTGACCTTGAGGACGATAACTGTATTTTGGCAAGAAACACTTGAGCAGGCCATGACTTTTGTCTTTTGACCTAGGCCTGAAATTTTTAGCTTGTTAATTCAATTCAATTGAATTCTAAGTTTTATTTAGAGTCAATATTTAGTTAACAAATACATATTACACAAGCTCTACTCGACCATAGGCATACAACAATATAGACACACATTATGACAACAAATTCCATGCACACGGAATACATAAAGGACATGTAGCTACATAAAAAATTCAAAAAAGGTAGTTTCTACACGACGGGTGCCACATGTGGAGCAGGATCTGCTTACCCTTCCGGAGCACCTGAGATCACCCCCAGTTTTTTGTGGGGTTCGTGTTGCTTAGTCTTTAGTTTTCTATGTTGTGTCATCTGTACTATTATTTGTCTGTTTGTCTTTTTATTTTTGGGCATGGCGTTGTCAGTTTATTTTCGATCTATGAGTTTGACTGTCCCTCTGGTATCTTTCGTCCCTCTTTTCTAGTGAGGCGAAGTGAATGTACTTAACTATTCCACAGAATTTTTTTTTTTTTTATTAATTTCACATATGAATTCTGCGTGTAAAAGTACACGAGATAATAAAATAAAAAAGGGAGTGACCGTTTTACATTTTTGAGATATGAGCTGTTGAAATTAACAGCACGAGACGCCAAAAATACATAGGATACACAGGGAAATTCTTTAAATCGGCAGATATTTTACATGAACAAGATTTTCAATTTCGTTCGTCTACAGATTTAAAAAGAAAAGAAAAACGATTTAAAAATGAACGACGAATCCGTTGGTGCAAAGAACCACGGCTTCTGAAAATCCGAACTAGATGATAAAATAGAACAAGAAGCGAAAGATCCTTATGTATAAGCAAGTTCGTTAAACATTTAATTTGATAGTATTTCTGGTGAGGTTATGAAAATTAGAATCATTTAAAACAAATCAGTCTTAAATTACACAATTTTATTTAGGGCCCAGCTGAGGACCACCTCCGAGTGCGGGATTTTCTTGCTGCGTTGAAGACCCGTTGGTGGCCTTCGGCTGTTATCTGCTCTTTGGTCGGGTTGTTGTCTCTTTGACATATTCCCCATTTCCATTATCAATTTTATTAAAAATGCTATCAAAATGTGAGAGTCTTTAACTCATTTTACCTCTCATTCCACGAAATATCAAACTGCAATTACAAGTCTCAAATTGTTTTTGACCCCTTATAATCTATTCAGTCATTATTTTGAATTGAGACTTGAGAAGAAAACTCTGTTTATGACGTCTTTATAATAAATCCATTGGATGTTGGATGTGTACTGATTGATTATGTAGTCTAAAATGCATGATTTTTTTTTATAATTGTTATTGGCTTTGAACTAGCTGTCAGTTACTATTAGTACTCTCAGATCTGTACTTAGTGTCTTTTTGGTGTTGGGATGTACAAGTATCCGGCCACGTTCAGTCCAGTTTGTTATATGTATTTTTATTTGTATCCGTCTGATGAACTAAGCTTTTTTCAACTGATTTGAATAGCTCGTTCTTATATTGTACTGTTCCACCACTGTCCCAGGTTAGGGGGAGGGTTGGGATCCCGCATACATGTTTATACCCGCCACATTCTGTATGTATGTGCCTGTCCCAAGTCAGGAACCTTTAATTCAGTGGTTGTCGTTTGTTGCTGTGTTACATATTTGTTTTTCGTTCATTTTATTTTGTACATAAACTAGGCTGTTAGATTTCTCGTTTGAATTGTTTTACATTTAAGATTTCGGGGCCTTTTATAGCTGACTATGCGGTATGGGCTTTGCTCATTGTTGAAGGCCGTACGGTGATCTATAGCTGTTAATTTCTGTGTCATTTGACCTCTTGTGGAGAGTTGTCTCATTGGCAATCGTACCACATCTTCTTTTTTATATTTACTTCAAAATTGCATTCACTAATTCAGGAAGATACACAAAAGCACAACAAAAGAAAACAAATTTCGCTATCCCTTCGAAATTACAATT